ACTTTTTCCACCATTTTATTTGGATATATATATATATATATATATATTTGCTGTAGTATAAGGTATCTCCTGCACTACAGTAGTAGTAACAAAGTAGAGAAATGATACCCATATGTGTTAAGTTTACTTATCTCTAAGTAGATGTAAAACTTGCTAGTTGAAAATAAAAATAAGGAAGTGATATGTTACATTTTGAGTTAAAGTGAGGTCAGATTGGGATTTACAGTTCCAGTGCAATTAAGTTCTAAGTTTATACATTTAAAAAAAAAACACATCTGACTTTTGGGCTTATTTAGTAAAACAATGAAAGTACGGTAACGTATAACAAACTGATTTCAGTTTGCTGAATTTTGTTTTCTAAGGGTCACACCACTTTAACCATAAGGGGTTGATTTACTAAAGGCAAATGGGCTCTTCACTTTGCAAGGGAACTTGCTTTTTGCAGGGGAAGTAGCTCCTGATCTTGGTAAACGTGGTGTAGTTTCACTTTGCAAAGATTAGCTGGTGTGGAACCCCCCTCCCCCCGCCAAAAACCCCCCAGTATTTTTGCGTGCACATGATTGGATGATGGAAGTCTGTAAACCTTCAACTCATTCACTAAGCTAAGGGGAAACTTCCCTTGCAAAGTTAACAGCCTATTTGCCTTTAGTAAATCAACCTCAAAATCCATTGTTAATTTCTAATGATATGGTTTTTTTTCTTTCCCTTTTAAGAAAATGGTACATTCTTCTGCAATGAATGTGACTCTCGTTTCTCTGAAGAGGGTTCCTTGAAAAGACACACTCTACAAATGCACAGTGACAAGCCCTACAAGTGTGACCGCTGCCAAGCATCATTCCGCTACAAGGGAAACCTGGCCAGCCATAAGACGGTTCATACCGGTGTGTTGCCGACACCTTTGCTGTGTAATTAACATTGCAATATTTGTGCTAGATTTAAAGTAGAACTTCAGACACTTAACCAAGTACTGCTTTTTACAGCTAAACTTGTGTGAAGTTTAGCTGTATGGAACCCCATACATGACTGCCCAGAGCACAACCACCTTCATGCAGTACTATGTCAATCACTCCTTAGGCGGTATGGGTGGGTGAAATCTCTGGGCACACATCACTGCTTTAGTTTGCTGAGTGATGACACTGTACTTTCCAGTCCCGTAAGGGTAGCAGGGTGCTATAGCAAGGTGCAATTTAGGCTCAAATTTGTTTTTTGGGTGTCGCCTCTTCCACAGGTGTCCAGCCTCTCTGTTTAAGGTAGTTTAATCCATCAACCAATGGAAGCAAACAAGTAATGCATCCAATGCTGCACCATTACATGCCTAGAAAATACTCTTAGCCCCGCCTTCGATGTTAAGTTGTCTGAAAGTATACGTTTCTAGAAAAGAGCCACAGTAAAAAAATGTATTTCCTTCAATCCAAAGACTTTTATGTTAATGAATCTTGTTTTCTTTCAACCAGGTGAGAAACCATATCGCTGTAGTATCTGTGGTGCACAGTTTAACCGACCTGCAAACCTGAAGACCCACACAAGAATTCATTCTGGGGAAAAACCATACAAGTGTGAGACCTGCGGAGCCCGCTTTGTACAGGTATAATTCCCAGAGTAGTTCTTTATCAGAATATTGTTAGGTTTTATTTAGCATTTTAGAATAGGCCTACTAAAGAGTCTATAGCACCATAGTTCCTCTTGTTTCTGGCCAAAGGTTACTCTGATACGGCATGGAGGGAAATCTTTATATACATAGTCATAATTGACTGGATATGTGATAAGGGCTTCTATAACTATCTTGTAAAGATAAGGCAATGCTTGTCACCTTAAATGTTTTAAACTCAGTTCTTTACTTCTAAATAGCTGAAAAGTAATTTGACAAACGCGGCTTATTTTTGATTTTGTGAATTAAACAAAACCTTCCACAAAGTTTTGGGTGGATTGGGAGGCAGGTGGGTAATATGTAAAAAGCCCTCTGGAGACAGTTAGTTTTGGTGCTCTGACCCACAGTTTTCGGAGCACCCAGCATGCAGAGACATTTCCTACTTCTACATCACTAGATGCCTTCTATAATCTGACTCAATGTGTTGAAAGCCTTAAAAAAGAACTATGGGGTAAGTGTTTTTCCCAATAGTTCTTTTTAGGGTCACGGGAGGACATATACTAACCTCCTCCCGTGACCCAAAGCTTAGTATATCGTGGGCTATTGCCCGTGATATACTGAGAGTGCCACAGCTGGGACGGATCCCAACAATACTGTCTAGATCCACCCAGCTGCGTGAATGACAGCTGGCTCTGCCTATCTAAAGGCAGAGCCAGCTGTGCCCGCCCCCTCCCCAGTCCGTTCTTCCACTCAGTGCTGGAGGATCGGAGAGGGGAGGGGAATCCCTGCGGGGAAGGGTGACTGACAGTCACCGCTCTCTGCAGGGTGATGATCGGAAAGTGAGCAAGTGACGGTATTTGTTTGCTCACTTTCCCGATCAATAGAGCCGACCTGTGACCTGTGAACGGCTTCTTTTTGTCACAGGTCGGCTCTAACTATAGGGATGAGTGGAAATCACTCACCTCATAGTTCTCAAGTGTCAGTTCAATGTATACATAAATAAAATGTATCAGCTGTAATGCCACTACTTTTGTTTCAGAGAAAACTATAAATGTTGCTTTATGAACACAGGTTGCCCATCTTCGTGCACACGTGTTGATTCATACTGGAGAAAAGCCCTACCCATGTGAGATCTGCGGCACTAGATTCAGACACTTGCAGACATTAAAGAGCCATCTTCGTATTCATACTGGAGAGAAGCCCTACCATGTAAGTTACTTATTCAGTTTAACATGTTTGCATGAAAAAGGGTTTAATTTCTGTAATCATTTTAAAAAAAATCAGATATTTAACACTTCTTGCTATCCCTGCACTCACATGTTTCAGCTTCCGTAGAGGGTATTCCACTTACCTGAATCGTGGAGTTTTTCTCCCCGCAGTATCCAGGCATCTTTTTGCATCTGCACAGCCGTGTCCTCCATTTCCAGAACTTTTGACAGGATCTGTGAACGGAGACACTGCAATTCCCATCTACCACTGTGGCAAAAGGACTTGTAGTTGTCAGTGTAATTCAAGGTGACGTCACTGCACTTTAGTCCACCCATACTTCCTCCCATCCCTGTAACTAAGTCCATACCTCGGCAAGGACAGGGACTGGGAGTAAGAGTCTGCAGGAGTCAAAGCTTTGCACCTGCTATCCCCTGATGGTGGTTGCAATGCTTTACAGCTTCCAATGCAAATTTGTTTTCTTTTATGAATGTGTGCATTTTAAAAAAAAATTTTTTTTTTGTGTAAATGTTTTATCACACTTTGACCCTTGAACAATACATTGTGATCCTAACTGCAATATTCCGTTTGAAAAGTTAAGAATTCACTAGCTTATTTAACACAACAAAGGACGAAGTGCATTAACCCTTTGAAACTAACAGTGATACATTTTTTAGTGACCTGACAGGAGACTTGCGTCTGTTATGAATAACTGCACTTTATATGTTCTTTGCTCTAGTTTCTTCAATATATCTGCTTATAGATATTGCTAAATGACCAGCCATCACCTTGTAGCCCCACAAGCCCCCATTTTCAGATTTGGCCTTTGTGAATGTTATGAAAATATTTTTTGAAGTACCGTGTTCCATGAACCTTTCCTTTACAAGTTTTAAAGTGCATTGTTGAACTTCAGCTTTTAAAGCCGTTGACTCTTATCGTCGTTCCTTTTTTTTAGTGTGAAAAGTGCAACCTCCATTTCCGCCACAAGAGCCAACTGAGGCTTCATTTACGTCAAAAACATGGAGCAATCACCAACACAAAAGTCCAGTATCGCGTGTCCTCAACAGAGCTTCCGGTGGATCTTCCCAAGTCTTGCTGAGCCCTGCCCACACCGATTTCTGGAGTGCCTCTCTTTGACCTGTTAGTGCAGATGGGTGAAACAAAACGGGTTTAGCTATTTTTATTTTTGTCCTGGTTATGTGAAATGTGCACCCTTTAGTGTAAAAAAACAACTAATATATATAAATATATATAAATATATA